TTGTATATCTTATTCGTTCACATTTTAATGTAATTATTCAGTATGACTGCTATTTAAAAATTTTAAAAATTGAGATATAAATCACATGACATCAAATACATTTTAAAATGTACAAGTCAGTGATTTTTAGTACATCCACTATAAGGTACAGTCATCACCGCTATTAAGTTTGTGTCTTTGGTATTTAGTTTCTAGATGTCTCGTGTCTTTTTTGTTCTTCTGTTCCTTCTTTACTATCTTTTTTGTGTCATATGAATATTTTGTAGTATACCACTTTAATTCCTCTTTTAAAATTTTTTTGTTATTTTCTTAGTGCTTTCTCTGGATACTATAATATGCATCTTAATTTATTATTTCAGATTAACACGAATTTAATTCTGGAAAAATAGAGAAACTTTGCACCAATATAGCTCCATTCCTCCACATAACATACTTACATGCACACACACACACAGACATACCCCACACACACTTGACCCAATAATATAGTTATAATTACTGCTTTATATATTCATCTTTTAGAGAAATTAAGAGGAGAACTGAGGAAAATATTGAGTCTTACATTTGCATATCTGTTTACCACTTACAGTGCTCTTCATTCTTAATGTGGATGCAAGTTAACATATGGTAGCAACTTTCTTTTGGTTAATGGTTGTGTGGTATATCTTTTCCCATCCTTTTACTTTCACCCTTTTTATATCCTAGTTGTTAGAGTGTTTTTTATTGTAAGCAGCATATGGTTTTTCCCTTGTCATTTGGGGCAATCTTTTCTTATAGAATTTCGTCTTACATGTAGATACTGATGTATTTGGGTTTAATATGCTATGTCACTATGCTTCCTATTTACCCCTTAAGGTAGATATATTTTTTCTCTCTTGCCTGCTTTTGGACTTCTGAAGTGCTTTTGTTTGTTTGTTTGCTTTAAGTCTGTTTTTCTCTGTTACCTTGTTGAGTTTTTTTTAACCATAATTTGGTGATTAACTCAGAAATTACAAAATGCATGACTGACTTATTGAGATCCAGTCTAAGTGAGTACTTCTACCACTTCAAGGACCTGCACCTTAGGTGACAGTTACCATCATCTCTCCTTTTTTGCTATTGTTGTATATTTTAATCATCGTCTGTTTTAAACTTCGTTATGTATTACTGTTATTTTTTGTAGTAGTTCTTGATTTAGAGTTACCCACATATTTACATTTTACCTTTCTAACAGTCTTCATTTATTCTGGCATCTTTGTGCTTCCATGTGGGGTCATTTGCTTTGCGCCTGAAGAACTTCTCTTGGTATATCCTTTAAGTGTGGGTCTACTGATAATGAATTATCTGGTTTTATTTTTGTCATAAAATTTTTTTTTATTTTTCCCTCATTTTCAAAACATAATCATCCCAGCTATGAAGTGCCACATTGGCAATTTTCTTTCAGTACTTAAAAGTTATTATTCAGTTGCCTCCAAGCTACTATGTTTCTGTTGAGAAGTCAGTTTTCAGTTTATTGTTGCCCTTTAAAAATAATACACATTTCTTCACTGGCTCCTTTGAAGATTTTTTTTCTGGTCTTTGGTTTTACTTTGTTAATCTGTTGTTTAATCTGTTCACAATTTATTATTGTTCTTGAACCTAAGACTTGATGTCTTCAGTCAATTTTGGAAAATTGACATGGCCACTCTATTTTTCTTTTTTAATTAATTAATTTTATTTTAGGTGCATACTATACCTGGCATTTCTCCCCATGTTTTCTCTCCCCACCCCCTTCCCTTCCCCCCATCGTCTCTCTCCTATGCCCCCTAACTGTCCCCTGTGCCTGATGCTCCTCTCCCTGAGTCCACGTGTTCTCGTTGTTCAACACCCACCTATGAGTGAGAACATATGACTCTATTTTTACATATTGGTCCTGCTCCATTCTCTTTTCTCTTTCTCAGATTTCAGTTGTCTCTGTGTTAGACTGTTTCACAAGCCTCATAATGCCTTGTATGTGTATTAGGGTTTTCTCTGTGTTCTTTTTTCCTTCACCTACCTCAGCCTGGATGTTTTCCTCTGACCTACATTCCACACTTGTGTTTAATCTGCTTTTTAACCTCTCCATTGAGTTGTTTCCAATTTTGAAATTTTTTCATTTTTAGAATTTCCATTTTATTTACTTTTACGGTTTTAAATTTTCTGCCAAAATTCTCTGTCATATACTGCTTTGAACAAATTAATCAGTTATAGTCTGGATATGACAATGCCAATATTTTAGTCTCCCCTTGGTCTCTTCTTTACAGTCAGCCTTTTCCCTTGGTTTTCAGTTGTTCTTAACTCTTTGTATGCCTGAGTATTTTTTTTATTGTGTGCTGCATATTATGATTGCAAAATTATAACACTAATTTTTAATCTGAGGCTCTGGATGATATTTTCCCCCATAGGGGATTTAGCATTGCTTCTGGCAGACAATTTTTCTAGATACAGTTGTGACTCTCCAGAAGTCCTGATTGAAAGGACAGAAACAACTGGTTCAGAAGCCCTTACCAGCCTCTAGAGAAATCCCAGAACACTCAGCCCTGACACATTAAACCCTGCACCGATCAGAGACTGCTGGCCACACAGACTCACCAAACCACAGACTTGTCTTTCACAAGCACATTCTTACCTCAGCTACAAAGTGACCAAGCCACATATACTAAGGGTTGAAATCAAATATATGTACAGGGTATTAAGCAAATACCAAGGGGAACAGTTAACTTGAATACAAGGTCAAAATCAGTAACAAGTTTTATCATCCAGTGCTGATATCAGTTACAAGCTTCAAGGACAATTTCTTTTTGAAGGCTTATTCCAGTTTTGTGAGGTCAGCATGAGCTGTATGCATTTGCTAGGGGCAAATTTACACTTCCGAATTAACCCATGCAACATATGCTCACAGTCCATTTAGAAGCATTTGCCGTGAATGGTGGAGGGGCTTACTCGTCGTACTCCTGCTTGCTAATCCACATCTGCTGGAAGGTGGTCAGTGACAGGATGGAGCCGCCAATCCATACCAAGTACTTTTGCTCTGGGGATGCAATGATCTTGATCTTTATAGTGCTATGTACCAGGATAGTGATCTCCTTCTGCATCCTGTTGGCGATGCCTGGGTACATAGTGATGCTGCTGGTTGGAATAGAGGTCTTTGCAGATATCCACATCACACTTCATGATGGAGTTGAAGGTGGTCTTGTGGATGCCACAAGATTCCATGCCCCCGAAGGAAGGCTAGAACAGCACCTCTGGACACTGGAACCACTCGTTGCCAATGGTGATGACCTGGCTATTGTCCAGCTTGTAGCTATTCTCCAGCTTTCTGTCATCAGCTGTAGCTGTTCTATGTACTGCCTTCTTTCGGTGAGCTATACCCTTGCCCTCTGTCTGGACCTGATCAGGAAGTTTGACTAGCTTTTCTTGATTTGTGCTGTTGGTTAATCTGAAGCAGGGAAAGTCCTCCAACTGCAGCCCACAGCAAGAGCAAGATGGCTACCCAGGAAGATTTCTTTTCTTTTTTTTCTTTTTTTAATTATTGGTACCTTGCATTGGAGGAAGATTTCTTAAATAAGAAACAAAACCCACTAACCGTAAATGAAAAGATTGATTAGTTTGACTACATTGGAAATAATAATTTGTGTGTATCAAAAATTACCCTAAAGAAGGAGGAAAAAAAGACAAGTCACAAACAGGGAGAAAGTACATATAGCCAACAAAGGACTGATATCTGTAATATATAAAGAAATCCTACAAATGAATAAGAAAAAGAAAAAACTAATAGGAAAATTGGCAAAAGACATAAGTGGAAACATGGCTTTAGGATTTTCAGTCTAAATGAAATTAGAAAAGTAGCAAATTTAGAGCACAGTGAGATTCCATTTTATGCTACTAAGTTTACAGTAATTTTCTTTTGTCTCACCTCAAATACGTATACTATATATGTTTAGTACACTGAAATTAAATGCAATTTTATTTTACTATATACCTGGTTGCCGATGTATGGTACGTTGTTGTTCTCCAGAATATTCTTCCTTCTGTTAGTGCAGTGGTTCTTAAAGTGTGGTCCCGACACCAGCATCATCAGCATCACCTGTGTACTTCTTAGAACTGCATACATTGGCCAGGTGCAGTGGCTCACACTTGTAGTCCTAACAGTTTGGGAGGTTGAGGTGAGAGGGTCACTTGAAGCCAGGAGTTGAAGACTGGCTTGGCCAACATAGGGAGACTCCCATCTCCACAACAAGTAAAAAAAAAAAAATAGCCAGGCATCGTGGTATGTACCTGAGTCCTAGCTACTTGAGAAGCTCAGGCAGGAGGATTGCTTGAGCCTAGGAGTTTAAGGCTAGGATTGCACCACAATACTCCAGCCTGTGGGTGAAAGAGCGAGACCCTGTCTTAAAAGAAAAAGATGCAAATAATCAGGTCTCACATATTACTTATGTGAGATAAAGTATTTCCCTCCATAGTAGAAGGCAGGTTTGCTTACAAAAGACTGAAGTTTCCAAAGCTCTGGGTTTCTTTCCTATAATGCAACCCACTGTGTGTGCAGATGTCACCTGGCCTTTGTCCCATCACCCTGTGGGAATTGGGCTTGAGGAACTGGTGCAAGAAAATGATGATACTGTGGCTATACTACTATTGCTCTGAATAAAAAACTGTCCTTTGTCTATGAGTCTGTCTTTTGTCTGTATATGTGAAACTCTGGCAGTTTAACTTTTTAGCCTGCAGGTAGGATAAAAACCTCAGACCTTGCATGTTCTTGATTCAAGTCCTCTTTCTTTAAAGTTTGTATGCTGAAATGGGAATCATTGCTTTTAACACTCGTTAGTAGGAAGCATAGTATTGAATAAGCTAAACGTATAACAAGACAGATACTTTTTCTGTTGTCAAATTTTGATATTCAGATATTCTTTAAAATGTCTCCAATACCCTGTTTTTATTTCCATCTTTAATTTACTCATTGATCAGACATTTCTTTGTATTCTTTTTGTTCTTGTTTTTCTCAGATTGTCATACCATTAGAAGCTAGGCTGATCCACAGACAGACAGATGGCTGAAAGTGGAAAAGAAAAAATAAAATGGACAACCACCATTATTGTTAGCTCATCTCTTAAGGTAAAGGGGCATCTGTGCCACTGATCTTTAACTTCAAAAATTAAAAGCACCTTTCATGTAGAACAGTATTTTAAAAGAGCCTTAGCTTGATTATCTACAATTAGTTGTGGGGAAACAGAAAGTGCATAAACTAAATGTATTGTAAAAATAAATTAATAGACTTTTTGCATTCATTTTCAATATCCTACTTCCCTAATTCTTTGAAGGTTGGAGATTTTCTAAAGTTCTTTTTTTTCTTTCCGTAAGCACTCTAAGGGAGATGTTAAGGAATTCCAGAAACAGCAAAGATATGCAAATATATATTAGTTAGGGTTTTTTGAGAGCTAAACAACCAGAGACTGATAACCTAGCCTTGGCAGCATTGAAAGGAGACTGTCTTCTTACAGTTTGGAGAGGAAAAGATGGAAAGTTGAATGCCTGAGTGTAGGTGGTCAGCTCACAAGACTTCTCCATTGCCCTGATACTTATCTTATGGACAGCAGCTGATACCTGGAATGAAGGGGCAAGAAAAGATTGTTCCACAATAAGGAGTAGGGAGGCAAGAATAAGACTTAAATTAAGATGTTTCTATCAAACCTGTCTTCTCACTGCTGCCTGAAGCTGCACTTTGCCCTGTTGGCTTCAGTCATTTAGATCCATAACATACTAGTATATTGTTAGGTTTCTGGAATTCATGTTTCTCTTTTATTTCTATAGACTTTTTGTTTTCCAGACTGATGTTGAGAGAAGGAGTAACCCATCCTGATTTACCCAAAGCAACTACCTCTAGTTCATTTATTCATCATGTTTACCTGTCTTGCTTTGTGGTTTCTATTTGTCCCACCTATTCTATGTTGCTTTTTTTTCCCTCCTTTCTTGCCTCTTTTTGTGTTGATTGGTTACTTATTTACTTATTTACTTGAGAGTGTCTTGCTCTGTCACCCTGGCTTCACTGTAACCTCAACATCCTGAGCTCAAGCATCCTCTCACCCTAGCCTCTTGAGCAGCTGAGACTACAGGTCCATGCCACCAGGCCTGGCTAATTTTTCTTTTTTGTTTTTTTTTTTTTTTTTTGTAGAGACAGGGTCTTGCTATGCTGCCCAGACTGGTCTTGAATTTCTGGCCTCAAACGACCCTCCTCCCTTGGCCTCCTAAAGTGCTGGGATTACAGGCATGAGCCATCATGCCCAGTGGATTGGTTATTTTTTTCTCATTTCTTTGTGTTTCACTACTAGCGTTGGAAGTTATAGGCTCTATTTCTACCTTTTAGTAGTTATCCTAGAAATTTTGACATATATCCTTGACCCTTAAACAACATGGATTTGAATTGGACAGATTCACTTATATGTGGATGTTTTTCCAACCAAAGCTGATAGAAAATACAGTATTCATCAGATGTGAAAACTGTATGAGGGCCAACGTTTTGTGTATATGAGCTCTATGGGGTTACTTTGGGACTTAAATATGCACAAATTTGGATATACACAAGGTTGGAGGGCTCCTGGAACCAATCCCAGCTGTGTATACTGAGTAACAACTGCAGTATACATTTAGTGCCACAAAGCCAAAGTAAGTAATCCTCTTTAGCTGACTCTTAAACAACAAAAGAATCTTTGAACACTTTAATTCCAAGCTGTCATATATTTCAATTTTATGGGGTTTTTTTTTGTACTTTTGTTTATTTTTTATTTTTTAAATTTCTTTTTGTTCTTTTTGTTTTTTGTTTTGTTTTGTCTTTTTCATTTCAATTTTGTGTTTTTAATTCCACAAAGTCTTACTAATATTTTCTAAAGTTAACATCTGGCCAGGCACAGTGGCTCATCCCTGTAACCCTAGCACTTTGAGAGGCCAAGACAGGCAGATCACCTGAGGTCAGGAGTTCCAGATCAGTCTGGCCAACATGGCAAAACCCCATCTCTACTAAAAATACAAAAATTAGCCAGGCATTGTGGTGTACATGTGTAATCCCAGCTACTTGGGAGTCTGGGCATGAGAATCGCTTGAACCCGAGAGGCGGAGGTTGTGAGCCGAGATCATACCACTGCACTCCAGCCTAGCCAACAGAGCGAGACTCCGTCTCAAAAAAAAAAAAAAAAAAGGTTAACAATCTGTTTGTATTTACTTATGTCTTTGTTATTTTCTGTGCTCTTCTTTCTTTCCTAAGGCTCAGACATTCCATTTTGGATCCCTTCCTTTTTATCTGAAGAATGCAACAGTCTCACAAATGAGTATCTGCATGAATGAAAATAAATAATTATATTAAAAAGGTATTTGTGGCTGGGCACAGTGGCTCACGCCTGTAATCCCAGCACTTGGGAAGCTAAGGCGGTAGATCATGAGGTCAGAAGTTCAAGACCAGCCTGGCCAAGATGGTGAAACCCATCTCTACTAAAAAAATTAAAAATTAGATGGGTGCGGTGGCGGGTATGGTGGCAGGTTCCTACCTAACCATTCCAAGTCTCCAATGTCTATCAATTCATACTCTGACCATGTATACATATTTAGTTCCCACTTATAAGTGAAAATATGTGGTCTTTGTCTTTCTGTTTCTGAATTATTTTACTTAACATTAGTGGCCTCCAGTTCCATCCATGTTGCTGCAAAATACATGATTTTATTTTTTATGGCTAACTAGTATTCCACAGTGGATATATATCACATTTTCTTTATCCAATCATCCATTTATAGAGGTTAAATACATATCTTTGCTATTGTGAATGGTGCTGCAATAAACATACAAATGCAAACATCTTTTTTTTTTTTTTTTTTTTGCGACGGAGGCTTACTTTGTTGCCCAGGCTGGAGTGCAGTGGCACAATCTCTGCTCACTGCAACCTCTGCCCCCTGGGTTCAAGCAATACTCCTGCCTCAGCCTCCCAAGTCGCTGGGATTACAGGAACCTGCCACCATACCCGCCACCGCACCCATCTAATTTCCTTCAGCAGTGGTTTGTAGTTCTCCTTGAAGAGGTCCTTCATATCCCTTGTTAGTTGTATTCCTAGGTATTTTATTCTCTTTGTAGCAGTTGTGAATGGGAGTTCATTCATGATTTGGCTGTTTGTCTGGTATTGGTGTATAGGAATGCTTGTGATTTTTGCACATTGATTTTGTATCCTGAGAATCGATTTTGTATGCTGAAGTTGCTTATCAACTTAAGGAGATTTTGGGCTGAGACGATGGGGTTTTCTAAATATACAATGATGTCAACTGCAAACAGAGACAATTTTACTTCCTCTTTTCCTAACTGAATGCCCATTATTTCTTTTTCTTGCCTGATTGCCCTGGCCAGAACTTCCAATAGTATGTCGAATAGGAGTGGTGAGAGAGGGAGGGCATCCTTATCTTGTGCTGGTTCTCAAAGGGAATGCTTCCAGTTTTTGCCCATTCAGTATGATATTGGCTGTGATTGTGTCATAAATAGCTCTTATTATTTTGACATACGTTCCATCAGTACCCAGTTTACTGAGAGTTTTTTTTTTATCATAAAGTGCTGTTGAATTTTGTCGAAGATGAGATAATCATGTGGTTTTTGTCTTTGGTTCTGTTTATGTGATGGATTACGTTTATAGATTTGCATATGTTGAACCAGCCTTGCATCCCAGGGATAAAGCCAACTTGATCATGATGGATAAGCTTTTTGATGTGCTGTTGGATTCTGTTTGTCAAAATTTTTTTGAGGATTTTCACATCAGTGTTCATTGTGGATATTTGCTTGAAATTTTCTTTTTTAGTTGTGTCTCTGCCAGGTTTTGGTATCAGGATGATGATGGTCTTATAAGATGAGTTAGGGAGGATTCCCTCTTTTTCTATTGTTTAGAATAGTTTCAGAAGGAATGGTACCAGCTCCTCTTTGTACCTCTGGTAGAATTCGGTGGTGAACCCATCTGGTCCTGGACTTTTTTGGTTGGTAGGCTATTAAATGCTACCTCAATTTCAGACCTTGTTATTGCTCTATTCAGCAATTTGACTTCCTGACTTAGTCTTGAGAGTGTAAGTGTACAGGAATTTACCCATTTCTTCTAGATTTACTGGTTTATTTGCATAGAGGTGTTTATAATATTCTCTGATGGTAGTTTGTATTTCTGTGGGATCAGTGGTGATATCCCCTTTATCATTTTTATTGCATCTATTTGATTCTTCTCTTTTCTTCGTTAGTCTGGCTAGCAGTCTATCTATTTTGTTGATCTTTTCAAAGAAAAAACAGCTCCTGGATTCATTGATTTATTTTTTTTTGAAGGGTTTTTTGTGTCTCTATCTCCTTCAGTTCTGCTCTGATCTTAGTTATTTCTTGTCTTCTGCTAGCTTTTGAATTTGTTTGTTCTTGCTCCTCTAGTTCTTTTAATCATGACATTAGGGTCTCGATTTTAGATCTTTCCTCGTTTCTCTTTTGGGCATATAGTACTATAAATTTCCCTCTACTCACTGCTTTAAATGTGTCTCAAAGATTCTGGTACATAGTGTCTTCACTCTCACTGGTTTCAAATAACATCTTTATTTCTGCTTTCATTTCATTATTTATCCAGTAGTCATTTAGGAGCAGGTTGTTCAGTTTCCGTGTAGTTGTGAGGTTTTGAGTGTGTTTTTTAATCTAAGTTATAATTTTATTGCACCATGGTCTGAGAGACTGTTAGGATTTCTGTTCTTTTTGTATTTGCTGATGAGTGTTTTACTTCCAATTATGTGGTCAATTTTAGAGTAAATGCAATGTGCTAAGAAGAATGTATATTCTGTGGATTTAGGGTAGAGTTCTGTAGATGTCTATTAGGTCTGGTTGGTCCAGATCCGAGTTCAAGTCCTGAACATCCTTGTTAATTTTCTCTGTCGTTGATCCGTCTAATATTGACAGTGGGTGTTAAAGTCTCCCACTATTATTGTGTGGGAGTCTAAGTCTCTTTGTAGGTCTTTAAGAACTTGCTTTGGCCAGGCACGGTGGCTCACACCTATAATCCCAGGACTTTGGGAGGCCGAGGTGGGTGGATCACAACAAGAGCTCAAGACCATACTGGTCAACATGGGGAAAC